TTTCTGCATCTGATTTATAAGGCATTTATAAATGCATCATAAGAAGAATTTCTGGATTCTTCTTTACCTTAGAAGAAGGAAATGTATTATCTCATGAACTTGAGCATAACTGCAAAAAGTTCTCGAGGGAAGTCAATTTTCTCTATTAAAGCCAGAAGAGCATATTCATCATGTTAGACGAGAAATTCTCAGGAAGTTGTAAAAATTAAGAGTCTTCTAAACTTTTTCCCAAAGTTCCATTCAAAACTGATTATAAAAATCTGAGATATTGCTAAGACCTTCCCACAATGTGAGCAATTGTGATGACTACACGGGTGAGTGATAATAAAAAATGCTACCAAATTCGAAAGCCCACACAGGGGCTCATGCAGCCAGAGGTTACCTGGATAAAGTGGGAGTAAATTAAACCTTAAAGTGTGAATGGGATTTTACTGATGGATTTTTGTAGAGAGAGAGAGAGATTTAGCTATGACAAGGCTTAACCCTGGGAACACTTGCACCTGTTTGGGGACTAATACTATTTAAACTTTGGTGAGTGCTTCCCATGATCTGGGGTGTAGTCTAAGCATTTTACACACTTTGACTCATTGGATCCTCTCAGTAGTCCTAGGGGTAAGATGCTTTCCTCTGTATTTTACAAGGGAGAGGAGAAAATAGCCTTTGTGTGATCAGAGCAGTTCACAAATGTGCTTCCTTCTCATAAATGTATCTATGTATATTCCTCAGTTAATCCTCAGAGCAATTCTAAGAGTATTGCTAAGGTATCATATATCCATTTCAGTGATGAAGAAATTGAGCTGTAGCAGGTCCAAGACTAGAACCTATGATATAGCTTGTGTTTTCAACATCTCCACGGCTCGGCAGAAGCAAAGAACTTACAGAGAACATTCATAAAATATATTGGTTGGATAAGACAATGAAGGGCAAATATAAAAGGATTTGGAGGGAAAAAATTAAGAATTTGAACCTGATCCTTGAGACAAATTCTTCAGCGTAGGTGCATAATACATTTTGTTGAATAAATACAAAACTATGTGAAAATATTGGTATTCCAGTCTTTTCTCTGGACATTCTGTGGTAGCATGGATTATAAAATAAAATAACCACAGCCAAGAAACCTAGATTATTTATTTTCTATAAAACCGCTTGTCTACAATCAAAGTCTCTGCCCCAGATCTGCCACAAAGTGCCTGAATTATGTCTTTCTGATTTGAATATCCATACTTCTGGTAGGTTTGGTTTACTAAGTCAGATTCCTGAAGTTCAACACTCTGCAATACTTTTATGAGGATAGCTAAGCATAGCAACAATTATGCTTTATTATTAATAACTAAGAGGGTCCCTCAACAATACATGATTTTTTTCAGTTGCTACTTGGTCTAACCTTACTTATATCTAGACTTCAAGGCTTATTTAAAACGTTTTATTTCAATCCATTTTTAAAAAGCTTTCTTTTTAAAATAACTTTTTACCCCAAACTGTATTCTCATTGCTAATGCTTCCAGAAGACCTGAGGCCAAATTGAGGTTGAAACTCTTGTCTCATCCTTGTTTTCTCCTTCATTATTTGAGACCTCAGCAAGGAGATGTATTTCTAATCCTTTTTCTGCTGTTCTCTGCATCACTTCAACTCAGACCTGCCTGTGTCTCAGACACGAGAAAAAAATTGACAGAGGTGGGGGAAACAGGACCATCTTCTCTCTGGTCCTCTGTTTGTCTGTTTTTCCATCCTAGAGACTGCAGCAGGCGTGTGATCACTTAATAACACGATATGCTCATCTTCCTCCTTTCTGATCAGCACTTTTACTGGTTCTCACGTGAAATGAAAAATAGCTATTTTTTCTTCTTTCCTAAGCATATTACATTGTTCTGAAAGAATGAGCCTTTACCAAGATTGTTTTTTCTAAAGGGTCATTGTATTTTATAAAGAAAAAGTGTATTTTTTAAATACTTAAAGATGAAACCCATTTTCAGTTCTGACATTTCAATATTTTACAGTCAAGATACTTTCTTTGCATAAAGATCACTTTCATTATTCATTGGCCCTTATATTATTTTTAATGGCTAATATTCCCATCTATTCCCATCTAATGCAATTTAGAATTAAACCATTGGGGCAATATAGGCCGACATTATAAAATATCTTGTTTTTTTCTTCTCTGAGGCAGCCCTGTTATTGAAAGCCTACAGTTAACAAGTTTCTCCAACTGCCCCACAGTGAAAAAGGTGTATTTATTAGAGTAGAGAGCAAATAACAAGAACATTCGAATGGAAGTAAGTTGTCATCAGTGCCTCCTTTAACCTTACAAATTATTTCTCTCCCTGCTTATGATTTACTATTGTTTTGTTATAGAGACCGAGCCCCTTTCATATTCACTTCAGAGATGGAGTACTTTATTACAGAGGGTGGAAAAAACCCACAGCATTTCCAAGATTTTGTGGAGCTTTGCTGTCAAGCTTATAATATTGTCAGAAAGCACAGCCGACTGCTCTTGAACCTGCTAGAAATGGTAAGTCCCTTGGGAAAATAACAAAAGTAATAAGCTTCATTTATGCCTCTGTTTCAGCAGTCTGTTTTTGCTAATGGCTTGGAGGTCCCCAAAGAGCTATTCAAAACAGAAAGGAATGAACAGACCAAGAGTACCATGGCACAGCTTATAAAAACATTTCTTTGTAATTTAATATGTTAGTTCACAATTATTGTCTCAAACATTTCTATTCACAACAGTATTGATGCAGTCAGGGGTTATCCTAGTATGTTCTGATGATTGTTCAAGGACAATAATTTCAGGGACAATAATTTTCAAAATAATGCCTGCAGTTGTATTGGGCATTAGGATTTTTCAAAAGTGCTTTAAAAATTCTGTCTCATTTATGTGTCGTGACAGCCTAGAAGTGTAGGTCAGACAAGGATTCTCCCTGGCTTCCCATCCCTATCTGTACCTTTGATCACTTGTATATGCTCCAGATTAAGGCACTGAGAGTCAAAAAGTAAAGTGGCTTGCTAGCATCTCAGCTGAAGACTAGTACGTTTAGTGGTTTACATCCAGCCTACTGAGTCACACTCCTACACACGTTGTGTTAACCAACAGGGGCAATTTAATTTTTCATTCCACTGTGCAATCCATCTCTTTGAATTGAACAGATATGCTGGATGAGGAGAGAGAAATCTGATAGAATTATCTTTGGGGAGTGGATACAGTGATTCCTGTGGGCACATACATGGACACTAGTAACAGCAGCAAACTGTAGGAGGAAACCATATCTTTGCTCCATCAGTGTATGATTTGCAGTCCATTAAAAACAACATTTAGAGCTTTCAGGGGACAATAATTCTAGTTGTCATTAAGGGCACAGACTTAGGGATTGGGCTCGAGTTTGAACCTAGTTCGGCATTTTACTGTTTATATTCCTGAAGACATGTTACTGAACTCCCAAAAGACTATTTTCTTATTTTTTGAGTGAATATAATAGCATCTACTTTGTAGAGCTGATGAATAATAGCAAATTCTTTGCATGGACCTGACACTATGCTAAGTGCTTTATGTATATTAATTGATTTAAATCTCATAATATTAAATAATAACCCTAATAGCTCATAACTATGTGTATAAAGCACTTAGCACAGTACTTTCCATTTAGAAGGGTCCAATTAATTTGTCATTGTACTGGATGCTTGTTAATTTATAAAAGCTCTGTCCAATGTAATGTCTTCTAGTCCTGTGTGGTTATTTAAATTTAAATTAATTCATATTGAATACAATTAAAAATTCTATTCCTCAGTCTCGCTGGTCACATTTCAAGTGCTTGGTAGCCAATGGCTAGTGGCACCATATTGGACAGCACAGATATGAAACTCACAGCATCACAGGAAAGTTTTATTGGGTAGTGCTAAATAAATGTCAACTTGGTTGCAATGAAGTTTTGATTTGGATCCTCACTTTAACTTTCAAACAACATTCACCTTACTTCTCTTCATTCTCCCTTGAAAAATAAGTATTTCTGAAGATATTGTAAACATGTCTTTTATATATAAATACACTTTGGTTTCTTCTTGTATAAAGTATAATAGCCAACATTCATATTGGCAGACCTATATTCTTTCTCTGATTCTGTAAGACCACATTGCAATTATGAGATAGCTCATGGTTTATAATTTCTGTCCATATCACAAAAACATTCTGCAAGATTAAGCTCATGACCTTGGCTCTATTTTGTAATAAATAACCAGGAAATATCAGCTCTAACACCCATGGACTCTAGCCAGCTCTACCTACTGAATCCATGAGGTCTTGAGTGCTTACTATAGGCCAGAAACTGCAAAGGATACATTAACATGTAAAACCCAGTCAGAACCTTAAAATTTTCAGTTTATTGAGGAAGGTAAAATTTGTATACACAAGTAACTGGGGTGTCCAGCATTTCTAAATGTCTATAATGCTATAAATAACTGCATATGAGGAGTAATGCCAGATTCTAACAACAGTTCTAATCAGCCATAGACATATCAAAAGGAAACCCAAAGCAGAAAAGCATAAATATACTTATGCTGTTTCATCAGGTAAGACTAAAATTATGCTTATTGTTAAAATAAAGTGAAAGGACAGCTTTTTGAAAAAAAATAGATTCAAAACGCTATTGGTGGGCTTTATTCTCTTGTTCAACAAAATTTTCTATATACCTTAAAAAAAATCAGCATATGAGTCATAATACATTTAAAAAATTACATTAAATAGTTTATGTCATATTATTTGACTTAAAAGAAGTAGATATCTGATATTTTGATTGTAAGTATTGAAATCTCTCAAAAGTAATAACAAAATCAGCTATTGAAAGTTTCTGGCACAGCGTACATCCAAAAATCTCCCTATGTTCTAATTATTCAAATCTTAACTGTTAGGCTAAGGAAGAAAATGTGGCAATGAAGGCACTAATTCGAAGTAAATCTTAGATCTAGACTCCCAGAGAAATTGAAGTAGAGATCCAAAAGAAGCAGTGTGGACCAATTAAACCAATGAATAAATACAGGACATACCGCAGTGGGTTATTTCCTCAGTTACTAGTCATTTACCTCTTGGTTTTCTTCCTCTTCTCAATCGGACTATACCTTATGGGACTCTCTAGATAACCAAAGTGTTTAGTGAAAGTTTCAGGACCCCACTTTCTTTGCTAAACCTTCTTATAAAATAAAAACCAAGCTTAAATTTCTTCAAGATTTTCTTCCATATGTAATCTATCCCTCCACTCTTTCTCAAATTATTTTGTGTTAAATTCTTTAAAAAGAATTTGGTCTCCTCGCCATGACCCAGTTACCACCAAAGAAATATTTGACATGGGTCATAAATTCTATCTTCCGTGAACGGTCCGTCCCCAGGATTGTGAGCCCAGGCGTTTGTTGCGTATACTTTGGAGATAATGGCTCATCCTTGGTAGAAAGCGTCATGTTGCCAGACATCCACAGTGCTTTTTATTTACTCCTGGGAAAAGCAAGGAAAAAAATAATCCATGAAATTCCCATCTTGCTTGAAAGCAACATCTGCAGGCAACCCCAGAGTATTGCTGGCTGTGTTCACTGAAATAAAAGCCTGTATTTCATCAGCTTTTCTCTCATTAAAAAATCAATATCAACTATTATGGAAGACTCCCAAAGAACACAGAAAGCATTCACCCAGTTTAAAGTGTTTATCACACCCATTATTTTACCAGATATTTCCCAGCAGACATCTTTCTAACCACTCTATGTGACAGGGCAGAACGTCTGCTTGTCTAAGCATAACTTTCAAGATAGATTTGGACTTAGTAAGAGGAGAACAAAAGTAGAAACTTTGAAAATGTTGCGGTCCTTAAAAATGTGATAAATTTATTCTTTACCTGTATCTATTCATGACCGGTTCTAGCTACCTTCTCCTTTCCTATTGCTCCAGGTAAGCTTATTACCTGTGCAGTCTAGTTTAGGAGGCACTTGAACGACATGGCTGTAGCTACCAGAGCAGACGTGACTAAGTGGATCCAGCTCTGAAACCATCCTTAGTCTGGGATGTGCAGTGTCACGTCTCCAAGAAACAGAGCATGAGAGTTAACTTAGCACTTGTTCCTTCGGATCAGCCTTGTGATAGGGAGAGAGCTGGGTTCATTTAACTTGAAGCAGTCTGCGAGTGGCAGCTATTGGGGAGTGTGTGTATGTGTGTGTGTGTGTGTGTGCGTGCACGCGTGTTTGTAGGGAAGGGATTAAGTCCAGGGTCTATTTCCTAAGGAAATGCTTACAGAGTGCTAGCTGAGCGGGTACAAATTCAGGGTGTCCAGAGAAACTAGAATGCAATTCAGACCATAGAGAAGAAAAACCGTTGTTAGAAAATTGATGATAAAGATGAAATCTGCCTCAATAAGCAGAAAGATGCCTCTAGAACTCTAAGCACTGAACTGATCAAATAAACCCTAATCTAGATTCTAGTTGCTATTAGGAATGTAGGAATGTTTCTCTCTATGGTTGTTTTTTTTTTTTAATTCTAGCAGTCAGTGTTGAGTTTGCCAGTTGTAGGTTTTGGTTTTGGTTTTGGTTTTTTCAGTTTTGGCCAGGACTGAACCTGTCACCTCTGGCATATGGGGCCACAGACGCCACCCATCCAGTTGTAGGTTTTCAATAACTACAGGCCTTGATATTTTTCTTTTTTCATTCTTTCATTCATGCATTCATTATTCCATAGGCATTTATTAAGACCCAGCTATTCACAATGCACCATGCCAGGCAATATAGGCAATTCAGCATTGAATAAAAACCCAATTTCTGTTCTCAAAGAACTTCAAATCTAACAGATAAACCAAACCCAGTAAAGGCTGGGAAGTAATAAATATTATAAAAGAAGTAGAACCAAGTTACGATTGTCCAAACAAAGCAATCGTTAAATCTCATTAGGAAGACCAGTGATGCTTCAAGGAAGCAGAAGTATTTCACCTGAGCCTTGAAAAGTAGACAAGGAGGGAGAGAGAAGGCATTTCTGGCTGAAAGAAAAACATACGTGTGGACGTTTATTGAGCCTGGGCATGAGGTGTTGGAAGTAAAGGTAATCAAATGTACCCAGTCTGTGGTGCAGATGGACATGTCTATAGACGATAAGGGGAAGTGACAGATCACACTTAGATCCTGAACAGAGCAAGGATTTTGGACTTCAGTACATAGACACATACTTGAGAAGCTAGAAAGTCTGTGTGTTTATAATGAGGGGAATGCTATCATCTGGCTTGGATTTTAGACAGATAACTCAGAGTTTATGTGATTAAAGAGATACAGATTGGAGAATAAGAAAAAAAGTTACTCAAGAAATCCACACAAAGGAACTGAACTAAAAGGATGATAATTACAATGAAAAGGGAGAATGAATACAGGAGATTGCTGAGGGGGGTTTAATGGAAGTAAGTGACTGACGGTGGGAATCAGGAAAAAGAAGAAATGGAAGAAGGTATGAGTTTCCTGTTGGCTGGGCAGTCGTGGCAGGTAAGTGAAGATGGGACAGAGGAAAAGGAGGAAAGGTTTATAGGAGAAGAGAATTTGCTCAAATTTAGACATCATGGATTTAAGATGATAATGGATCATCCCTGGGGAAGGACAGTTGACAACTCTCTAGGACTACCTGGTTCATCTCCTTGGTTTCAATTATCATTTGTATGCTAATGACCTCCAGATCTAAAATTTACAGCTGTGTGCTTTGGACCCCTCTCAGCCCTCTCTCTATGGCCAATCAATCACCCAGTTTTCTCAATTCTACTTCCAACATATATTAAAATCCAATGACTTATCTCCTTTCCTAACCAGTCTCCTGGTCTCCTCTTATTTGGCTCCACTTTAATCCATTTTTTAGACATAATCACGATGATCTTTCTAAAACACAATTATATTCTCTTATTCCCATGTTAAAACACACAAAGAGCTTTCTCTTGCCTTTAGGATAAGGTACAAAACCTTTAGTCCTGCCAAAGTAGTCTATCCTACTTGCCTCTTCATCCCCACCTCCTGTTTTTCACCCATGTAATACCGTGTCCTGAAAACCATCCGAGATTTTTTTTCTGTAAACGTGTTAAAGATATTTTGTTTTCCTCTGTACATCTGTCCATGCTCCTCCTTCAGCCTAGCAGGGACAGTGGGAATTAAGAATAATTTTTATGGCATTTTTTTCTCATTTAAACTTTATCAAGCTAATCACAACTTTACCTATTTTCCAAAAATCATACCCTCCCTTGATCCTTTATTTTTAGGATTAACAGTATTGTTCTTAATTCTCCTTGTAAGACTGGCTTTACTCTAAAGCAGGATATAATTTATCATCTTAGTCGCAGAGGCACTGATAACATTCTTCTTCTTCTTTTCTTGCAAAATTAAAATTCATTTTAGAAAAATCTATTATTTTCTCGAAAATGGTATCTCTCAGTAAAGAGAATATAATTCCTTTAGGCCACACTGTGACATAAACAAAATATCTTCCTGAATATTGGCAGAGTAACACCTGTACTCTTTTGTCTTTAATAATTTCATCACTTTAATGATCTTTAATAAATACAGTCACCACTTAACTAGGGAAAATTGTGTTATTATAGTGTGAGTCACAGAGCCATGAAAGAGCATAGGATTAGAGGGCAGCGACTGTGGCTCAAGGAGTTGGGCCCTGGCCCCATATACC